ACCAGAAAAACAAATACTTATAAAAGAGATTCAATGTTTTCTACTTTGGAAAATATCTCCATTCCCACATCATTTTAACAACTTTTACATTTTCATTTTTTCATTTTTTAAAAAATAATTATGAGACATAATAGCATTAACAAATAATTTTCCATCTGTTGTGAGAGTTCTTTTCCTGGGGATACTAAGCAATGCTTATTCCCTTTTAAGTTTCTAGTATCAAGCCAATGTTTGATTAAAGTTTTACTAAGGAACTAATGAATTTACTGAGCTTACTGACTGAGATAACTGAGTTGTATGAATGACCTGAGGGTATGCACACTGAAAAGCCTTTACCCAGCATGGGTCAGGCCTTCTCTTCCTAATCTTCTCCAGATTATATAGTTTAGCTCTCCCCAAATCAAGTAGATCATGTGTGATTAGGGCCAAATTACATACAGTTGGCTGGGAAGAGTGGCTGGATACTCCGGTGAGGGTTCAATGACTCTGTTTGCCCCTCAAGTTTTATCTACACAGCACATGATAATTACAATACCAGACTGGGGGAACTAATCTTATTGGATGCTTAACAGCCATATTTTGAGGCCTATACTAATCTGGTCAGAGGGACTTAAAGGACAGTTTTTGTCCCTTGCCCTCCAAATTCCAGGGGACTATGGAACATCTCTCAAAATGTCCTGTAACTGTGGTGAGTCACCTGTCCAACTATTCAGGGAGGCCATGGAGACCCCACGAGATGGACTTAACAGTGTCCAGTCTACAAAGAGGAGGGTCAACTCAAAGGAAACATCTCATCCATGCTTCCAAGTGAAGCCAGACATGATCAAGCAGGACCTTTGACTTATCTTCACATAGATGGAACTGGTAAAAGGAAGGAGCCAGGGGCTCCTCCCAAACCCATGTGACCCATGAGGAACAGATCCTCAATTGACCTTAAGTGTAAAAATAAGTTGATTTATTTGTGCCAACTGTATGGTCTTAAACACCCAAAAGGAAAGTATAACCAAAGAGTAAAGTCATCAGTATATTTCTTTAAGAGTTCAAGGGCATTAGGCTTAAGTCCATATAAAAAGTTATTTATACAATTATTTCTCATTGATGATTTTGTTCCTAATTAGAAAGCGCTGCTCAGATTTAAGACTTCAAAATCTTGGTCTGCAATACTGTAGTGCCACCTATAGCTAAGGGAGACAACCCGCTATTGTTCTAAAATGATGGATAAATTTGTTTTCTCCCCCTATCTAGAATCCTTTGAAAGGGAGCTGACACTGATTCTAACCACTCCAACAGCTATCAAAATACCTGAAAGCAAATCCTGAATCCATTAGAGTCCAGACTTGGCAGACAAAAGAAAAATGGGGAGGAACCCAATAAAGGGATGCTTTTGGAAGCCCTTGTCAAGAAATTCCAATGGACTCTCATATGAACATTTGAAAATTGTCCTGTTCTGACTTTTTTCTAGTTCCCTGTCTAGAACTTGTAATGCGAATTACTTTTGCCTTTACTTCTCCTTCACACCTCCTAGTCATGATTCAAGGACTTTCTGTTCCCCCTAGAGATAAGAGTTATGCAATCTGGGAGTCTTTTAGATAGACCCACTGAAGGGGTATTCCAATTGCCTCACCCTCCATCCCTGTTCAGCATGGAAAAAGCCAGAGTGGTCTACATCCCTATTCCCTACTGACGATTTGGGTAACCTCTT